CAACAGCCTGCCACCTGCCAGCCTGAAGAAGATCAGAAAACATTTAGGAGGGTTGCATCTAGTTCCTTCTTTCAGAAGCGCTCTAGCGGAGAGAATACATGTATCAATGAGAGAGACCAAATTCTCTGCTGCTTTTCAAAGAAACGGTGCAGAAAGTGACAGCCTGAAATCAGATGGGGAGGAGAAATCTTGAGGGCTCTACACGAAGAAAGGAACGCAAGGCTTTAATCTGGCTCGCTGAAAAGCCCCGGAAAGAAGGATCAATCCTTAAAGCGCCAACTGAAATATAGAACACAGCCAATTAAGGGGAAACAACCCCAAATTGGCTTAATCCCAGTTCAAGCTGGAAGATGTTATAATAGTTCCAAGAGACAGAGCATCTTGGATCTCAAAGGGAACAGACTAGAAAGGGAAGGGGAAAGAATGTGCTTGCAGTCTCCGGGCTGTGTTCCATACCCACCTGGGGAGCTGGTGCCCTACCTCCGGTGGTATCAACAGACTGGATCTCAGCCAGCTCCCCGTTCTACCCCACAGAGAAATTCATACAACTTCAAACTCCTTATTCAGGCTTTCCCAAGGGGCCTGCAGCACCTAAATATTTCTGTGATTGGTCCAGACTTCAAATGGAACCCGGACCCCTTCTAGCCAATGCCTCCGGTATGTTAGGGCTAGCTTGATGGCGGTGGCCTCTTTATCCCACACCTCCCAATTTCTCTCCATGGCCGAAAACTTCTTTGACACATAGCCCAACAGGTGCAAGTTCCCATCCTCCGCCTTCTGCAAAATCGCCCCTCCCATGGCCACATCCGAAGCATCCACCTGTACCACTAATTGCTTAATCTCATCGGGGTGGCGCAGGATGGACTTGGAGGTAAACAGAGTCTTTAGATGGTCAAACACTTGTTGGCACTTGGGGGACCATTGCGACTGTCTGCTTGGCTTTCTACAATCTGGTCCCTTCCCCTTCATTTTCAGGAGATAAGTGAGGGGGAGGGTGACCTGGGTGAAATTCGGGATGAAGGGGCAGTAGAAATGGGCAAACCCCAAGAAGGATTGTAATTGGCGCCGGGTTTGCAGGGGTTCCCACCCCACTATGTCCGGAACCTTCCGTAGGTCCATGCCCAAAACCTTTCCTGAGATGTGGTACCCGAGAAAGTACAGTTCCTCCCTATGGAACTCACTCTTGGATAGTTTAGCAAATAGGTGGTTTGCATAGAGGGCTTTCAGTACATCCCGCATCAATTGCACATGCAACTTTTTATCTTTTGAATATATCAAGGTATCATCAAGATAAACTACCACCCCTTTGTACAAATGCTTGTGCAACACTTCGTTGATCAAGTCCATGAAGACCCCAGGCGCCCCGGCCAAGCCAAACAGCATCACCAGATATTCAAAGTGGTGTGTTAAATGCAGTTTTATGTTCATCCCCCTCCCTGATGCATACTCTAAAATATGCATCCTGTAAGTCCAGTTTTGTAAAAATCTGGCCCTGTGAGGCCTCGGCCAACAAGTCCTTGATGGGGGGTAAGCATTCGGCATGGACGCATTTAAATCCCCGACAGTCAGTGCATAGTTTCAGCCTCCCATCTTTTTTCTTCTGGAAGAGCACCGGAGCCACAAACAGGGAGGTTGCTGGTCTGATTTAAGCCCCGGGCAGATTTTTGTCAATGAACCTCCGTAATTCTTCCTTCTCAGCTGGGCTCATGGAATAAAGTTTCTCTTTAGGCATTTTGTGACCCGGTAATATCTCAATCGCAAAGTCAGTTTTGACTAATGCTGGGCTAATTAAGTCCCGCGTACACCCTGAGTCAATTAGAGCTCTTACTTTAACATGAGTCCCCCCCCCCTCTGAATTAATCATGGTAACAGTCAGGTAAAAGAGGGGGGGAGGGTCTCAATGATTCTTGCGCCGGAGACTTTCAGACTTGCCGGCTGGCACCCTTCACAGTAGGTCCCAGCCTTTTCCCACCGGCTAAGGCAGCTCTCCTTCACTAGTCAAGGTGCACTCCAGCTCTTCCCTCACTTGCGATTGCAGAGCTCTGGGTGTCTCGGGACATAAACCCGGCGGCTTGGGTTTCTTGTCCTTGTTCTCCTCTTTCTTCACCCCACTGGGGCTCTTGTCTCTTGGGCAGTTTGCGGCGCAGTGGCTTGGAGCTCCATATCTCAGGCTTGTGCCCAACTGCATCTGCTGCTCCAGGGGCCAGCCCTTGCAGAGGCACCAGGGGAGGTGAGGACGGCTGCATCAGGCTCCGCGCAGGTGGTGCCTCCTCAGCCGCTTGTGCCCCGTGCCCTTCTTCCCCTCGCCCCTGTTGCATGAGCTCCCGGATGACTCCCAGAAGTTCCTCTAGGAGGGTGTGAATGTCTCCGCGTAGGTCCTCAGCCTCTCCACGGAACTCTGTCCTGATTCGGTCCAGGTCCAGATCATCTGCCAACAAACCTGCAACTTGCATCCATTTGGGATCATCTTGAAACACTCTCGAGGTCCATCTGCATTCCAGGTTGGACCGGCTCGTCCATCCCCGGTACCCCGGGGTTCGCAACCAGGTGGGTGCATTCCATCTGCTTTGATTCTGGCGGGGGTATTTCAGCCTCGCCCCCTTCTCCCATGTTATGGTGGTTTTCATGGGCTTGGCTGCTCCTGCAGTTGCCCCCTTGTCCTTCTGGTTGTCAAGATTGTGGGTCGGGATCTTGGTTTGGGAACCAGTTCCCGTCCCTGTGTCTTCCCCTTCATCAGCCATCACTTTCATCGTGTGACGGTCAAAGAGAGGGAGTTCTGATACTATGTCAGACTCTTGGACAAAGTTTCTCTCAACAACACTCTCTGGCAGTGATTTGTTTATTTAGAAGTAAAGATGTTCCAAGCTAAGACCTGTACTGTGTCAGAACTAAAGTTCTGCTGCCAAAAAACACTGTGGGTTCATGCCCAAACCCTTTCCCGAGATGTGTCAGAACTAAAGTTCTGCTGCCGAAAAAACACAGTTATAGAGAGTTCGAATAAGACCCCCCTTCGGTTCCGTCCAATCACACACCACAACCATCATGTGCTCTACACCCCCACCTGTAAATTTACCGTTATGCTTATCTATGACAGCATATCAAACACATCCCTGAGAATGGATGCTGCTTCAGAAGAGTTACATTGCCACTACAACAGAGCCATTCTCACAGACTCTCTCACACACATACCCCTCTGGAATTTCCCTCCCTAAGCAGGCCCTAGAAGACATGGCAAACGAGAGTCCATAGGAGCAAAATTTGCCTAATAAGTGCAGTATTGCATTGTTTTGTTTTGTTTTCCACTTCACAAACTGCCTTGAACAGGTCTTTGAAGAGGTGGCATAAAACATTTTCTGAATAAATAAATACATGCAAAACCCCATCCATAAAGAACCAAGTTCCACATAATCATTAGCATCAGGGCTGGCCCGAGGGGTTTGTGTGCCCTAGGCGAGGCCGCCTAGTGGCGCCCCCCTCAGATGCCAACCTCCCGGGGGGGGGCTGTAGACCTCCCAGCTGGCCCGCAGGAGGAGGAGGGAGGAGGGGCTAGCAGGCAGGCAGGCAGGAGTGCACGCCGCCCTGCCCCCCCGTCGCCTCCGTGAGTGCTCCCTACTTCCCCCACCCGCAGCCTAAAGAAGCGGAGAGGAGGTAGCATCGGCTGGTGGAGAGAAGCGCCATCTCCTCCCCCCCTCGCAGGCCCAAAAGCAAAGGACGGACGGGCGGACGGACCCCCCCGCCGCCGCCGCCGCAGACCCACGCCCCCTCTGCCCGAAGGCGCTCAGTCCGCGGCATCGTCCCCGTCTGGCCGCCACTCAAGGGGCGTTTGCTTCACACACACATACACGC